GGGGGGGGGGGGGGGGATCCAGGCTCTGACTTGTCCAGTAAAATATAATTACAACTAAGTCCCAGAAATAAAATATTTGCAAAGAATGTCAGTGAAGACGGGGTTTCTCCTGTAACAAAGCCCCACACAATTACTTATCCCTGCACAGAATTTGTTTGGAATCAATGATCTTACAGAAAAAAAGAGGCACTTAAAATACAACTGAAGTGTTGCCAGGACATGTGTAATTGTAGTAAGTTGGCTATGCTCTTCTGTAGCGTGGTATTATGAAGACAAATGGATGACTTTGTTGTTTGTAATCATCAGGATTTTCCAGAAGATTAAACATATGAAAGCAAAGCTTCCTAAGCAATTCCCTAGGAGATTTCATCATATCACAGAGCAGGTTCAAAAGCAGCAACGGATCTAATTCCAAAAGCTCTTAAACTCACTGTACATTCCAGCGTAGTCTTCCCGGTGCTTGTGTGAGCACATCAGGCCAAATTCCAGGCTTCCGCGCAAAGCTGCACAACCAGGCTTTGTGCAGAGCTCTTTATGGAGTCTGGGGAATTTACTCCTCCTTTATCGTGCTGGAGCATTAGTGCAGCTGCTGCCCTTAGAGCTCCCCTTATATAGGGAGGTTTTGATCAGTGGGATCTATACTGTCACGGGTCTGCTGTTCCCATTCACTCACTGAGACAGCATGGTCTAGTGAATTGAGTACTTGACTGGAGGCCTGGGACTCCTGTTTTTTAATCCTACTTCTACTACTAGTTAGTCTTAATTCTACTAGTCACTAAACACTGGGCCTGATTCTGCTCTCACTTAAACCAATGGAAGTACACAGTTAAAAATGGTCTCAGAGCAAATTCTGTCCTATCCTTTAGCTCTGCCGCCGAAACCAACTAGGAGGGCCGGCTCCCCAACCAATGTACCTCAGCAAATCTCCACTGAAGTCAATTTACCTATGCTGAGTAACACTGGCTGATTTTCTTACCCACAATTTTTACCTGAGGAGCTCTGTGTCACCAAGTGGATTTTACATAGGACTGAGTGTCAGGAGAGTAGGGTTGTGACACTAACTCATAGCCACTTTGCCTCCCTGAGCCTCAGTCTTTTCCTCTGTATAATGGGATAATGACATTTACTTACACTCTGATAGATGTGTTGTGAGGCCTAACTAAATAATGGGCCTAGTTCTCGACTGGTGTAAATCAGTGTGAGTCCATTGATATCAGTGGAACTGTACTGATTTACTCCAGCTGAGGGGCTGGCCCAGTCTTTTCAAAATGTTAGATTTATGAAACCTATTTTGAAGGCCAGTTCTCCGGGGACATAGACAATCCTTCTTCTGCCACAAATGCAGCATTTTGTTCAGCTGCAAAGTTTAGAGCAAAACTGACCTTGCTGTTCCCTTCCCCGACCATACTTCAGTGCAAAAAGTTTCCAGGCGCCTCTAATTTCATAAAAATATTGAAAAGGAAGGGATTGACACCAGCTACACAGCTTAGGCAAGTCTCCAAAGGCCCTTTCATCATGTTACGATTCTCATTCATCCAACAAGTGAGGCTCCACTACAACATAAGCGATTGAGAATTTTTATATGATCCAAAGTAAGAATGTTGTCATGGCAAGGGCTGCCAGATGGTGCCGTTCCAAGTTCTCTTTCTTAGCATGCAAGAAAATGCTCAGTCTTGGGAAAACATACTGTATTATTATTAGTTTTGCTAGGCAAGGAACAGAAATGGGAGTCGTGAAAACAGCAGCCGAGTTTGCTTCTGCCATGGTCGCCAACTGGAGTCAATTTTTGAGGGAGAGGTGTTCCCTAGGAACTTGGCATTGGCTGAGGGCTGAGATTCCTGAGAAAACGGCTTGCCCTGCATGTGGTTTGTGACCACTTCTGCTCCAGGACTGGGGTGTGCATGTGTGTGCAAAGAAAACAAGTTATAGTTAGAATATATCCAGACTGCATCATTTATTTCTCTTCCACTGGGAAGTTGACCTGAAAGATCCTGGACATCTGCTATTGCTCTGGAGAGGGAAGACAGTCCCAGGCAAAATGGCTCTTCTCATTTTGGTGCATCTTCATTGGAGAAACATTCTCCTTTCTTGCAATAGCTCTTTCCATTTTCCAAGTAACATGGCTGAATTAAGTTGCCATAGCTACACAGGGACTGTGGCAGACCCTTGATCATCATGATTATGGTATATTTGCACTCAGAGAATTAAGGCTGCATCTTTCATTTTCAGCCAGATGATTTCAGTCTTAAGCACTTCTGTGAATTTGAATCGTTTGATGCAGCTTGGAATACGAGACGTAAAACAGCAGGGGAAAATGACAACTTCGTGGCAGTTTGACTTCTTCAGTTTAAACCAAAATTCCAAGCATTATTCCAGTTAGAAATCTGATTTCAAAAATAAATAGCAACATTTCAACAGCCGATGTAGAATAGAGACTGTTAAATAGCTTTAAAAAGGCTGCTGCTTTGACTCTTGAGCTATCAAAGGCAGTCTGTTTCCCATGAATGAAGAGCACAGAACTGGCTGGGATTTGAACCCTCTCCCCATTTTGGGTTGTTATGTTAAAAAAAAAAAGTTGTAGCCGTCTTGCTTTCACACTGGTTAGTACAACTATTTTTCATTACATTGGCACCACCTCTGCCAGAATACATAGTGCCTCACATTTGGAGGAGGCCAAGTCCTCTCTCGGTTGATCCAAAATAGTTTTTAAAACAAATTATTGGGGGAGGAGGGAGAAGAGCAATCCCTGAAACTTTTTCATGGAAGCCTGCGTGAAAAACGATTTGCAGGGGGAACAATTAAAGGAAAGTGAGCGGTGCATGTTTGCTTTCAGATGTTTGCATATGACTTATGGCAAGGGTTAAGAGCAAGATAGTGCGCTCAAGTGATTCCAGATGGGCCAATATTAATATCTTTCTTTTCCTGATGAATGAGAAGGTATGACCCAGTTAGGAAACTGCTAAAATTACAGGCGCCACGGAGGCTTCGGCTGGTGCCCTACCACAGGTTTTTTATCCTTACCTCGGCAACTGTAATGCTGATGAGCCGCTCGAACCTGCTGAAGGAGACGTTCCAGGGCTTCGGTATGTCCCTGGTGCTTAGGTTCTCTGCCATCACAGTCTTTCCAATCTGTTAAACAAAAGCAATAAACAGACGGAAATCTAAAAGGAGGGGAAGAGGCTTAAAAATGTTTTCTTGCTCCTCATTTTTTCCTGGTTGTTTTGGGGGAGGGGAAGGATTTGCAACCATGCACAAGGGATGGTACTGCTTATACTATAAGCTTCTTCTCCCCCCTGAAAATTAAATATATAATAGCAACAACAACAACATGGGGTTAGAATTTCAAAAGAAACCGGCTCCCAGAAGCTTCTGTTGTGACTATTGCAGAAAAATCGATTGTAGGTAACTATATGGTCCCCATTACTCTAGCATCTAATATATTTATCCTAAGAGTCCCTTTTATCCCATTTTACAGATGGGGTACTGAAACATGGGGAGACTAAGTGATGTGACCAAGGTCACACCAGAAGTCTGTTGCAGAGCAGAGAATTGAACCCCAATCTCCTGCTAGCCTTTGAATGATTGGAACATCCTTGTTAGCTGGGCTAAGCACTTTTGAAAATGCTGTCCTGGTCATGGGTGTTGAATTCCGGACATTCCAGTCACGGTGCCCATAGTGTGCTGGGCATGGCACTTACAAAGCAAGCAGCCACGGTTTTGTCCCCAAATGTCCAGAGAAGGTTTGCTACGTAAAACTCTCACTCAGCCTTACTAAAACCTTCTTTCACAAATTTCCAAATTCTTTGTCCCAGGCGCAAGAAAATCAGTTGAGGTCATGGAACAGTCGAGCCATGAGTTTGGATGATTTTAAATTTTAAAAGTGCACTTCTTCCCTTTACAAAATAAAAATGAAATAAAATGTAAAAACCCACCCTAGTTTCACAACTAAAAGCATGCACTTGGCATGTCAGTGTGTCGACAGATTCCTTCTTCTCTTCTTAGCTGGCACAGAGCACATGTGCCAAAACTAACTGCTCACTTGCTGAGCAGACAGGACTAATTTAAGTGGAGTCCCAGGGACTCAGCATGACAGAGAGCTAAATATGATTGGCCTTGACTTGCTACAGTGATAAAAAGCCCCAAAAACCCCCCCCCCCCCCCCCAGCACAGGTGGATGTGTTGGACAGCGGTTACTCCCATAGTCTGTGGGCTGTTGCAACAGCTGTAGAGAAGTTGTAGAGAGTCTAGTGGATGCCAAAAGCAATAACCTTTGTAGGCCAACACCAGGAGGTCACGTCTCAACTCTATTTGAAGTATCCACTGGATGCAGGTGTGTAGAGACACATAGGAACCATTTGCCACTCACTTGCTGGGGACTGGTTCAGAAGGTTGATGTCCTTTAGAAAACTCAACTTTGTAGGGCCCTCAGCAGGGGGTCTGTCAGCTGGGGATCGCCAGAGCATAGCAGCATCCAGGTCACACCCCTTCTAGAGCCCAGGTTTGCCTCTGGTACATCCACTGGCCCGAGAGGCAGGGCTAGAAGCCAGCACTCAGTGAGTTTCCCATGTGAGGGGGACTCTCTGGGCAGGAAGATTCCTGAACTTTGTAATTCCTTAGGGCAGGAATGGGGAACCTTTTTTGGGCCAGGGGTCACTGACTCACAGAAACATCAGGTGGGGGGCTGCACACAAGTGAGAAAAACAAACAACCCCCACTGACAAACTGAGAAGGAAGGAAAAAGACGCTCCCCCTTCGCATGCCAGAGCCTGGGGGGGCGGGCCAGGATAGTAGATTTTGTGTGCTCCAGCCCTTTGGTGGGATGGCTGGGGGGAGAGGGGCTGGTGCACCAGTGCAGGATCCCCAATGCTGGGGGAGTGCCCTGAGCTTCAGGGACCAGGTCCAGGGGCCCTAGGCTCCCCATCCCTGCCTTAGGGCCTTAGAGCCCTGGACTTTTAATTCTATTAACACTAATCCTTAGCAACTGGCCATGGACCATTGTTTGTACCTGAAAGCTGCCTGACACAGTTTTGGAAGCCAGGAAGCCAGTCCCTGGTATCAAAAAGGTTCAGAAATACCGCACTAATGTATTTTTCTGGCAGTCATTATAGACCATTTTATAGCGTGCTAAAGAGTCTAACTTTAGTTTACAGCTTAGGGCCAAATTCTGCTCTGTTACACCAGCATCATTCCAGGAGTTTGTTTTCAAAACCCACAGCAAAGGCGATGCACCCAGGTAAAGGCCTTCACACGAAAATACGTTCGGCAGACAGTAACTGGACCAAGAAATAAAAAGCATGTTGCATTTCAAGCTGAAATTCTGACATTAGGCTTGCCTCATAAAAAGAGTTGAAACTCAGGCTATAAAGCATTTCCCTCACACTTGAGCGTGTGTCATGGATGATACAGAACAATGAAAACACTGCATAATGTCAGCTATACAATGGGTTCGTGACTGGCATAATGCTCTAGGGTGCACTGAGGAAGAAAACATACGCGTATGGTCTTGTGGAAACGCTGTTCTTGGACGCACAGGGGCCTTTCCAGATGTATCTTGGGTGACTATTGGTCACTCTGCTGTTGCCATACCTGCTTCTTCTAAAATATAACACTGCAGTCCCTCCCTGAGTGCCTCACTGTTGTCAAAGAAGTCAAAGCCTGGCAGGAAGCAGGGGAAAGGTGGTTTTACTTCACCTGGTTTCTCAGGGTGTGTCTAGACTACACCTCTCTGTCGACAGAGAGATATAGATTAGGCACATCAAAATTGCTAATGAAGCCAGGATTTAAATATCTCGTGCCTCATTAGCATAAACATGGCTGCCACTTTTTTTCGAAACAGAGTTTTTTCGAAAAAAAACTCCTGTCATTCTAGACGGGGATCTGTCGAAAATACAGCCTTTTTCGACAGATCCTGTATTCCTTAAAAAATTAGGTTTACAGGATCTGTCGAAAAAGGCTTTATTTTTGACAGATCCGCGTCTAGACTGCTATTTTTTTTAGACTCCGTTTCGAAAAAAAGCGTCGGCCATGTTTATGCTAATGAGGCATGGGATGTTTAAATCCTGGCTTCATTAGCAATTTCAATGTGCCTAATCTACATCTCTCTGTTGACCGAGAGGTGTGGTCTAAACACACCCTCAGCTGTTGCAGGAACAAAGTGTCCGGATCTTTAACTTCCCTGAGGCTGCCCATGTGTTCTCTGTAACTTTGTGTCCCCGCAGCACCGAGCTCTATGGCCGTGTCCAGACTCAGGGGTTCTTTCGAAAAAAGTAGCCTTTTTTCGAAAGAACTTCCCCTGCGTCCAGACTCAAGCCGCGTTCTTTCGAAATTATTTCGAAAGAACGCGGCTTTTCTTTCGATGGCAGTAAACCTCGTTTCACGAGGAAGAACGCCTTCCTTCGAAAGTTCCTCTTTCGAAGGAAGGCGTTCTTCAATGTAAAGAGGCCGTCTTCGAAAGAGAGCATCCAGACTCGCTGGGTGCTCTCTTTCGAAAAAGCGGATTTCCTCTATCGAAAGATCCGCCTGCTGTCTAGATGCGATCTTTCGAAAGAGGCTCTTTCGAAAGATGCTTTCTAAAGAGCCTCTTTCGAAAGAAGCCTGCAGTCTAGACATAGCCTAGGAGTGCTTCCTTTCCCACCCTTGATTCTCCATAGCAGCAGGACAAGCAAGGAAGGCCAATGCATGTCTGCTTCTATCCACCCTTGGCTGCTCCTGAACTGGGGACATTCTCTCCCATGCCCTGGCAGCACCTCTGTGCTGCCAGAGGGGTGCAGACCAGCTGCAGGAAGGGCCACAGGGTTTGGGATAGGGCTGGTCAAACATTTTCCATCCAAACTTTTTCCGACAGAAAATTGGGATTTTACAAAAGTTTCGTGGAACGCACCTGCTTGCCTCGAAATGGTTTGGTTTTCATTGTCAGAAAAGCCAATCCCCAACCTTTCCATTTGAAACTCAATTCTTCGGTTTTAGTTTTATTTTTATTTTTGGAGGTTTTCAGACAAAAAAACCCAAGGTTTTTAGATACAACGTTTCTGCGGGAAAATAACCCCCATTTTCTAACCAGCTCTTGTCTGGGTTCAACTGCACCTGGTGGAAAGTCCAATGAAGTCTGTGACAAGACTTTGTTGGACTTCAATGAGCTTTGGATGAGGCTCTTATTGTAGAATATTTTTAAAGGGTTGAAGAAGAATACAAAGAAAGAGGCACTGTCAGAAGGGTGGGACATTGAAATATTCCCAAAATAATACCTCGGTCCAATACAGGGCAGCAGTGTAAAATGTTTTGTTGTGGGTCTCCTGTTCCACAAGGCATGTTCTATTGACTGACACTGAGTTCCTGTAAAAGTGACAATCCCCTTCTTTAGGGGGCATAGCATTTTAAGGTGTCAAGAACCAAATTCTGCTCTGTAACACTGATGTAATTCCAGACTAAGTCAGTGGAATCACTCCACTGTAAGTCTACACAGCAACATTATTTCGAAATAACTTAGTCCGCGTCTACACAGCAGGCAGTTATTTCAAAATAATGTCAAAATACTGTCAAGCTGGAGGACTGCTTACTCCGACTCCTGCAGCCCTCAGGCTGTGTCTACACTGGGCCAGTTATTCTGGAAAAGCAGCCGCTTTTCCGGAATAAGCTGCGAGCTGTCTACACTGGCTGCTTGCTTTTCCGGAAAAGCAATGATGATCTAATGTAAAATCGTCATTGTTTTTCCGGAAAAACTATGCTGCTCCCATTCGGGCAAAAGTCCTTTTCCAGAAAAACTGTTCCAGAAAAGGGCCAGTGTAGACAGCACAGTAGTCTTTTCCGCAAAAAAGCCCCGATCGCGAAAATGACGATTGGGACTTTTTTTGCGGAAAAGCGCGTCTACATTGGCACGAACGCTTTTCCGGAAAAAGCGCTTTTCTGGAAAAGCATCCTGCCAATGTAGACGCGCTTTTCCGGAAATACTTATAACGGAAAAACTGTTCCGTTTTAAGCATTTCCGGAAAAGGGTGCCAGTGTAGACGTAGCCTCATTGTATGAGGAGCAAGGGAAGTCAAAGGAAGAGTGCTCTATTTTGAAATAAGTGCTGTGTAGATGCTCCCAAACTCGAAATAAGCTACGCAATTGACATAGCTCAATTTGTGTAGCTTATTTCGAGCTAAGCCCTGCTGTGTAGATGCACCCACAATAAGCAGAAATGACTATACTACACCAAAAATAGATGATTTTTTAGAGTAACACTGGTTTTATACTGGTGTAAGTGAGAGCAGCATTTGGCCCAGAATAAGACAATAATACTGAAACGGTCTCAATTACCCAAACTACACTTCCCACATCTCTCAGATATGTAGTGTCTGGCCAGATTCCTTTATGTTCTCACATTACCATTCAAGCTTATTAAATGGTTACATTAGCCTAATAAAAGAAAGTGCTAATGCAATAAAATGAAAACCTTCAGCACACTAATCAATACAAGGGAAGCTGCAATGTGCCTTGCCAATTCTGCAGCAAATACTAATCCAGGAAAAGTGACTAACAATAGGACGCCATTAGGATAAATTTAAAAAAATTGCAAAAGTAAAATTATGGTCCCAGTGGAGTTTCAGAAAACTCACCATGATTTTTAAAAGGAAGGAGGTTTTTCAGTCATGTGGAACATTTTAACAACTACTACGTAAGTGCTACTGTGCACATAAGAACCTCTACTTATGTGAGAAGTCCATTGACTTCAATGGGAATTAACATCCAACAGAATCTTAAAGGATTGGGCCCACAAAGTTTGTTTCAGTTCCATGCACAGGACAGAATTGTTTTCACTATCAATGTTTTCCTGATGCTTGGTCAGATTTAGAATACGATCTGCTCTGTTCCTTACATTACAGAAAGTTTAATATGACAGAAGCCTATTATGGGACATCAGGGCTATATCTATACTACCAGGTTATTTCAAAATACATTATTTTTAAATAATAACTCCAGAAATAACAATTTCAAAATAAGTTTATTCGTCTTCACAAGCAGGAGTTATTATTTCAAAATAAGAAGTCCATTATTTTGAAATAAGGGTACATCTACACAGCAGGGCTAAAATTGAATTAAGCTACACAATTTCAGCTATATAAATTGCGTAGCTGAAGTCAAAATAGCTTAATTCAGCTTTTGGTGCTGTCTACACAGCAGCAAGTCGAAGGAAGAGCAGACTTCCTTTGACTTCCCTTGCTCCCCGTGAAATGAGGGTTACCATGAGTCAGAGTAAGAAGTCCTCCAGCTCAACATTATTTCAAAATGAAGACTTGCTGTGTAGATGCACACTATGTTATTTCGGAATAACGACAGTTATTCCAAACTAACGCTGCTGTGTAGATGTACCCTAACAGGCTTGGTAGCGTGGACTCTCACCTTGTTATTTTGAAATAAAGGAAGTTATTTTTAAATAACTCCCCAGTGTAGACATGACCTAGGATCAAAATCCTAAACCTCATGCATGTGTGTGTGCAGGATCAGGTCCTAAAGACACAACCTGCTGACAAAGGACTGGAAAAAGGTTGGAAGAGGAAACAATGCAGGACAATAAAAATATATAGATTTTTCCAGTTTTTGTTGTTGTTGCTGGAGTTGGGTTTTTTGGTTGTTGTTTTTGTTTTTGTTTTGCTTGAAGTTCTATTTTATTTATTTCATTCCTGGGTGACGCCCATTTTATCCTTTGACCTCCAATGGATTTGCATTTGCACAAGCTCATTGTAAAAACAAAACAACTCTGATAAAGTAGCTTTAATAAATCAATCATGGGGAGCATAGGAGATTTTAACCTACTAGAAGGAGCAGCACAGGCTGGAGTGGTAGTCTGTGGAGGTCCCCATCCCTTCATGTTGTATGCTGAGACCCGAGTGTAATAAATTTGGCCCTGCAAATGCATTGGAAAGGAAACAAAGGGGTATTAAACATTTCATTTATTAACATTAACAGCAGTACTTTATACTTTGTTTCTTCAGTGCCCCATATAAACATGAACTAATAAATCCTTAGCACAGCAACTTTTAAAATTACGTACAGCCAGTCCCACAAGCCTTAACAGGGCTACTGAATTCAACAATCTGCGCAGTGAAGTTAAATAATTTGCCCAGGGTTCTATTGCGAGTCAGTGGCAAAGTGGTGAGATTGGTACATATGTACTGCTCACTCCACAGGTTGTAGAATCAGGACCGTAGAAAATGTATAATGAAGTAATGATTACAGTTTTAGGGGGGGTTATTTATTTGTCTCCTCACAGTAAAGTAAGCCCTTTGATGGGGATCAATTAAAATAAGCTTTGAGTGAATTTTTTTGGATTTTAACAAAGCATATCTAACTGTATCCATCCACTTGGTCTAAAAACTGGGCTGGAGTTGTCATGAGAATAGGGCTCTTTTGCTAGATTTACTGCACTTCCCATTCTAGTCAGGAACAAACTGCAGAAACAGCCTCCTTTCATGGTATTTTGGTCCTTCTCTTCTGGTCCTGGAGGAACCCAGGAAGCACGGAGGCTGGCAACCGTGGAACAAACTAAACAAAATGTAAAACAACTTTTCTGGTTCAGTCCAAGCCTGGAGTTACAAAGATGATTGATTCCTTATTACAGGCAGTCCCCGGGTTACGTATAAGATAGGGACTGTAGGTTTGTTCTTAAGTTGAATTTGTATGTAAGTCGGAAGTGGTACATATTGTAGGGGAAACTCTAGCCAAACATTTCTCCAGAGCTCAGTTTTATTCTCCCACACCTCACTTCCCTCAGTCCTTTATTCTCAAGCTGAGGTGTCTGCTGAGAAAAGCCGCTCCACGTCTCCCTGGTCTGCTGTGGGGGGCGCTAGCTTCACGTCTCCCTGGTCTGCTGGGGGGAAGCAGCTAGTGCGGGGTTGCCTCACCCCGTTTGTAAGTAGGGATCCGATGTAAGTCGGATCCATGTAACCCGGGGACTGCCTGTAATCTAATCTATTGTATCCATTGCACCACAGTCCTCAGCTATGAAGGTGTGAACCGCACAGCGCTCTAACATGTTGCACCCTACTTGCTCCACGTAGACTTTGCTGGCACAAAACTAAAAGATACCCTGCTCACTCTGACTCACATTAGAACCTCAGCATTATGAACAGCAGAGTTACAGACTGACCAGTCAACCACACACTCATTTGCAATTGGAAGTATGCAGTCAGGCAGCAGAGGAGACAAAAACCAAAACCAACACAACAACAGCAACAACAAAACACAAATACAATACTAAACAAAATGGAGGGAAGGCAGGATTTTTCTTTGTCTGAAAGTTAAGTCAGTTGTAAAATTCTGAAGGAACAACCATATCATTTTGTTCGGAGTTACACACATCTCAGAGCTCTGAACCATCTCCATTCCCAAGGTATACCAATTTTTGACGTTCTACCAGGCCTGTGAAGAGGGGGAAAAAGGGGCAATTGCCCCGGGGTCCAGCGATTCAAAGGGGCTCAACAGCCAAAGTCCTGGGCCCTTTAAATCGCTGTGGGAGCGCTGCGCTACATGCTACATGGGTCTCAGAGGGCTGACTGCCTTGGTTCAGCCCCTTCTACCTGAGACACCGCTCCTTTCAGGAGCACAGAGGCCCACCCCCTCGCTCAGGTGCCTGCAGAGGCCATCAGCTCTGCTGGGTTCTATCACAGTTCCATTTCAAACTGGATTACATGGATGGGCACTAGGTATTTTTAGTTTCCAAGAGCAGGGTTAACCTGGAGCAGTTAGAGCACAACTTTTTAGTGTGATCTACATACATACTCCTGTAGGCCAGACTCTGGCAATGCCTAGACAAGCCCTAAGAACATAACCAAGGGTGAGGTTCTGATACCCTTACTCACATTGGAGAGTACCTTATTTCACAAGGACTACGTCTAGACTGGCATGATTTTCCGCAAATACTTTTAACAGAAAAGTTTTTCCATTAAAAGCATTTGTGGAAAAGAGCGTCTAGATTGGCACGGACGCTTTTCCGCAAAAGCACTTTTTGCGGAAAAGCGTCCGTGCCAATCTAGATGCGGTTTTGCGCAAGAAAGCCCCGATCGCCATTTTCGTGATCGGGGCTTTTTTTTTGCAAACCAATACCGCGTTCTCTACACTGGCCCTCCTGCGCAAAAGTATTTGCGCAAGAGGGCTTTTGCCCGAACGGGAGCAGGATAGCATTTCTGCAAGAACACTGAAAATCTTACATGAGATCGTCAGTGTTCTTGTGGAAATTCAAGCAGCCAGTGTAGACAGCTGGCAAGTTTTTCCGCAAAAGCAGCTGCTTTTGCGGAAAAACTTGCCAGTCTAGACGCAGCCAAGGAATCCTCTGGGTTCCTGATTCTCATTTGCATGAAGGTGTCCTCATGCCACTCTGGCAATGTAAACAGGCCTCTGTGTAAATGAGAATCAGACCTACTGACTTCAGTGGGACTATTGATGTATAAGGGTGGCGGACGATCAGGTCCTTAACTCATTTGTAAGCCATTGTACAGATTCACCAGCCATGGAAGGAAATTACAGGTCACTGTGCTGCAGTTACATGGTCCCTTTACTGTAGAATCAGAAGGCACATTTACACAGCAGGGCCAAATCCAAAATAAGTTATGTTACTAGAGCTACGTCAATTGTGTAGTTTAAGTCGAAATAGCTTATTTTGGCTTTTGGCGCTGTCTACACGGAAGCCCGCGAAAGAGCGCTCTGCCTCTGGCTTCCCTTAATCCCGTACAATGAGGGTCATGGGAGTTGGAGTAAGAAGTCCTCCAGCTGGACATTATTTTAACATTATGTCAAAATAACGGCTTGTGTGTAGACACAGACTGTTATTTTGGAATAATGGAATACCACTGCTGTGGAGACATACCTTAAGTGTCTTGAAGCTTGTCACAACACCCCCATGAGGTAGGGAAGTCCCAGTGGGGGCAGAGAGGGTAAGTGACTAGCCCAAGGTCATGCTAGGAGTCTGTGGCAAAGTAGGGATTTGACACTAGATCTTTCCTCTTCTTCACGAGTACCCTAGCCCCTGAGCTAGCCTTCTGCTGCACCTCACACCCATTTCCTTGGGGCAAGATTCAAAATCAGACCAAACCAACTCAAGCTATTGCTATATAAGCATGTATGGCATTTCTAGCCTTACCCCACACCCTAACCATAGGGCCACACCCTAACCCTATGGCAGCCTCCTTTGCATCAGCTTCCTGTTTCCTTTTATAACTCTAGCCTAATGAGACACGTGATAGGCAGGAACCTGATAACTCCCTACATGCTCCAGTGCTTTTACACCTTGTCACACCACCGGAGCTAGGCTACTCAGAACTGGGGCTGGCAGTCACTCATTAACACATTCCATTGCAGCGAGGTCTTGCAGCGGACAAGTTCTTAAATAGCTCTGCTACAAAGCATTGGTTAAGAAAGATGGGAGGAGGACTGTACGGTGGTTGTGTGTATGGAAGATGGCAATTTACGACTTTGACAATTACAATCACAACTAGAATGGATCAGCCCTTGACTAAAACAGTAGTGCAAATATGGCACTTCTACCCCACCTCTACATTTAGCACATCAAGAGGATTTCCAAGCACTTTTCAACCCTCAAAACACCCCAGGAAGTGGCTGATATTGCCTCTCCTTCGTGGTGAAAGGCCCAGATCCACCAAAACCAATGGAAGTTAAGAGCATAACTAGCTGTATGGATCCTGAGCCTGGGTATGCCTTTGTCGACAGGCGCAGGTATGCCTCGTGAAACCAGGTTTACCTGCGCCCGTCAACAAAGGCATCCTTGTCGACCGCAGTGCGTCTAGACTGCCCCGATCTGCTGACAAACAGCTGGTCAGAAGAGTGCAGCAGCCACTTTAATTTAAATGAAGCCACAATTATTTAAATTGCAGCTTCATTTCCCTATGCCAGGTAGCCTAATCTACATGCCTCTGACGACAGAGGCATGTAGTCTAGACATACCCACACTGATTTAGCTGGCATGAGTACCTATAGCAGTGAAGCTGCAGGAGCTAGAGACCTAAGCAAGTACCCATGATCTCAGAAGGTTTGGACATTCCAGGTTGACGTCTCACAGCTAGATTAGAGTTAACTCTAATCGAGTTACATTGCGCTCAATCAACCTTCACCTGCAGCACAGACATATCCCTAGACCAGTGGTCCTCAAAGTGTGATCTATGGACCATTAGTGACCTGTGATTGTCTTACACATGGGGCTGTAGGCTTAGGGCTTGCCCTCCTCCTGTAGCAGGGAGCCTATGGTGGAGCTCCACCCCCCCCCAGCAAGGTTGGAGCATCAGAACAGGCTTCCTGCTGCAAGGGAGGGAGCCTCATGGGCCAGATCTGGCTTGGAGGGGAAGGAAGCAGCTCCATACACTGCCATGCCCATTCCCCCCAAGTGGGGGGGAATGGCAGTATAACCACCACTGGGCAGATTTGAACCTAGGCCCTCTGGAGCTTAGAGCAGGAACCTCTACAACTTGAGCTATAAAGCCAGCTGGCTCTCAGCTTATGCTGCAGAGCTCCCATGTTCTTCTCTCTCACTGTAAATGATCCAAATGCCGCTACATGGGACAGCGAACCACACTAAGTATGTGGGTTACAGCAGAACAGAAAACCACTCACCTGGAGGCTTTGTCCACTGCTCCCATTGGCCAGAATCACGGCCAATGGGAGCAGAGTGGGGGAGGTGGCAGTTTCTGGGAGTGGTGGGAGGCACAGAGCCAGGTAAGTGCTCCCCATCCCTCTCATGTCCAGACCCCACTCTCTCACCCCACTCCTCCTGAGACCCCACACCCTGCTCCTGCATCCTCCCCCTCCTGCCACCTCCAGCTCACTGCTGCACCCAACCTCTAAGCCAGACTCTCACCTCCAACCTGCTTCTGCTCCCTCCCTCCTGGCCAGACCCCACACCTACTCCTACACCCATATTGTCATCATGGTGGTCCGTGGAAAGGTCTGCGTTGAGAGGGATGGATTGTGGGCCAAAACGCTTGAGAACCCCTGCCCTAGACACACATATTTGAGAATTTTAACCCAGGTACCCTGTCTGATCTCTAACATTTGTGTTTCAGCGCCCTGGCCCAATGGGTTTTGGAACAAGCTTGTCATTTTCCCTCATACGATTTTGTCTTAAGGGCCTGATTCCACACCTAGTGAAGATTCTCATTGACTTCAATGGGTGCTAGGGTGAAGCCCCAAAGGAATGGTCCCAGCGTAAATATTTGTATGAATTTTGAACAAGATTTGTTCTCCACAAGCATTCGCAGGACCAAAATTTGCATGCCTAAATATTCACAAAAAGCCTGCAGAGAAGGGTTGCAAACATATGGTTGACGTTAGCTTGCTTAAAAATCCAAGTGAATATTCATGAGAGATTTTCGCCATCTCTGCCCTAGTTCTTTTTCTTAAAAGACGGCAATCAGTGACTTTGTTCCTGAATGAGGTAGACGAGATAGAATTGTTATTTTAACCATCAGGCAGGGAGTCAAGATTGGATCGCTCAGGAGTCTTTGATCTGCACTCAGATTATCCTGTGATCCACAGAGCCGCTGCTTTCATTCCAATCTCTTCTGATCTCCCCGGAACATGACAATTTACAAAACAGTTCATGCTATCTCTCTGTTCCTTTGTGACTTTTGGATTATGGATACCAGACATATCATGCTTAATGACTGGCAGTTGCTGTCAGAGGAATGGCACTCTCCTACTCTTGCCAAGAGGCCTGGGTGCAAATGTCACAGCCCTTGTTCCGTGTCAGGAGTTGAAGATCTAAATTAATGATTTGGCATTTACCATTCTGAGGCCTGTGATGGTGCATCTCAAAGAGTGAAGATTATCCATGATTATTTCCCCAGCCAAAGGAGAAAAGTCTTCAGAAAAGCTCCATTCCACTAGAAAATAAATAACACAGAGAAAATGTAATCAGATTCCAGTGTCAGGCAAATAAATGGAGGTAGTTTAGCACCTTGGAAATTAACCAGCCTCTCCCCATACACAAACACCTTCCATTTCTCTATTAACTCTTCCATTTCTACGACAAGACAAAATATTGATGTTTCACAATAGTGTGGATGACAACTGCTTGTGGTTGATGTGTGTTTCAATAATGAAAAATAGCTCAAAAGCTTTCCATAAAGATATAGTTTTAAATGTTTTGGCATGCAAGGCACAGTCAGCATTTGCTCTCATTTAAGCCACTTCCTTTTAAAGGAAAAGCAGCAGTAGGAAAATATATATTGGGTGGAGGATTTCAGAGTGCAAGACACAATGAAGCAAGTCTACAAATCAAAGCCAACATAAAGCCTCTGGCCTTGCAGTCAGATTTGCATGGGTGGACCCTTGTGCCTATGTAGAGCCCCCTAGGAATCAGTAAAGTTTCACATGCATGCCAAAGTCTGATCATAGATTCATAGATTCCGAAGCCAGAAGGGACCACTGTGGGCATCTAGTCTGACCTCCTTCTGTGTCAGAACTTGCCTGAAATAATTCCTAGAGTACGTGTTTTACAAAAAAAAAAAAAAAAAAAAAAATCTTGACTTAAAAATGGACAGCGATGGAGGATCCATCTCGACACTTGGTAAATTGTTTCAATGGTTAAGTACCAAAATGTACATGTGATTTACAGTCTCCACTTTTTTAGCTTCAGTTTTCAACCAGAGGATTGTGTTATACCTTTGTCTCCTTGACTGAGGAGCCCATTATTAAATAATCTGTTCCCCAGAGGTGTATAAACTGTGATCAAGTCAGCCCTTTCCAGTCCCATTGGTAAAATAAGCAGATTGAGCTCTTTGTGTTTCTCTCACTCTTTTTCATTTGTGGACTCTTACAAAATTTCAAATAGAGGAGCAGACCTCTTTGGAAATGTTCAGTGGAGGTCCAGACACCTTTGGAAATCTATTGTCTCTCTATGACTACGTCTACACTGCTTCCCTCTTGCGGAAGAGGAAATGCAAACGGAGCACTCATTAGCATATGTCGTGCTCTCATTTGCCTATCCTCTTCCGACATATGCTAATGAGTGCTCCATTTGCATTTTCTCTTCCACAAGAGGGAAGCAGTGTAGACGTAGCTACCTAGATAATAATGGTCAGTCAGTTTTTTTGTGGCCCCCAGAGACATAGTCCATGAACCCCAATGGGTCTGCAGACCACCAGAGATTGAGCATCACTGGTCTATCATAATCAGGCACAAGTTCCATCCTTTTGATCATTCTTGTGGCTTTTCTCTGGATTCTCTCTGATTTATCAACATCCATTTTGAATTGCCAACCTCAGAACTAGATAGTATTGCAGCATTAGACAGACCAGTGCCAAATACTCTACTCTCATATTTATGCATTCAAGATCACATTCACTCTTTTTGGCAATAGCATTCCACTGAATGTCCATGTTTAACTCCAAGTATTTTTCAGTCATTGTTTCCCAGGATTGAATAAAAATGGCCGGCATATTATAACACAGCGTGTAGCGTGGACTGCAGGATCCAGCCCACAGAAGATTACCACCACCTTTTTGGCCCCAAAATTGGCTCAAGTGGCTAATGAAACTTTGTGTTCTTGCAGATGGTTCCAGTTAGGAGCAGAAATGGGATGGGACAGATACCTCTGGTGCAATCTGGTTTATTTATAAAGAATGTACAAAGTCCTGTTTTGCTGAACACAGAAGGAACCAAAGAGGAGATAACTTCTTGACTTATAGTCCCAAAACTTTTTAGCTAGTGCCACACTGTGCTTGTCTATGCTGTGTGTGGCATGTTCTTTCTCTCTCTCCTCCACCATCCCACCCAAAACAATATCCATTGAAACTGTTTACACACTAAGTATTAATTCCTGGGCAGACTTGCAAACATATTAGCTTTAGATATAAGCTTTTATAAAGGAGCATATCTGTTTCTTACAGCTATCTTAAAAGATGGGTTGGAGTTGCAACCTCCAGCTTCAGTGATGTTTTTCCTAATCCACAACAGAATTGTCTTCTCTGGACCTGATGCAAAGCTCGCTGAAGTTAATAGGAATCTTTCTATTGACTTCAATGGACATAGGACCAGATCCTACTCTATATCAGATTGTGTTATACAATCACAGGAGTCCCCCAGAGCCACAACGAATTACTGAGAAGTAGCCTATTATGAAAGGGAATCAAATAATGTCATATGTTCATATGAGTTGCAATTGAAGGGGTTTATTCTGCAGGCTAAACCAGATGGTGTGCTAACTTTACTCATGTAAGCATTCCCATGAACGTATAAGGGGTATGAGAGAATGGTTTACTGGATCAGTCACACTGCTGTCAATCTCCCCCTTTCATTTCTTGCAAAAATGAATGAAAACATAAACATGATATAAAATAGCGCAATGCAGACAAGTTAAATCATTTTTAAAATGAGCACAAGCAAGTGGGGACGTGTGACAAGTGACAGGAAAATGGCCTGCTATTTAAAAAATTGTACTCTAGCAATGGCAGGTACCTTGGGAATAGTTAAGGGTCAGTTACTACTGTAGACTCTTGCTTCTGGGATTTAATAGTCATCCACTTCAAAAATGCATCAGACTCAAACTTGTGGACAAGCTGTCTTCTTGGACACGTATTTCAGCAGATCTCATTAAGGGCCTTATTCTTCTCTCAGTTGTGCTGATGTAAGCGTGAAGAAGCTCCGTTTGTTTCTTGAATTTACACCAAAGTAACTGAGAGACGAAGCTGGCCCAAAGACTTCTACATTTTAGATCCTCCAAACTCCCCAAGGCTGTTATTATTTTCAGAGGCTTAGTTGTCATCAGCTTTATATTTTCAGATCAAGCACTCGATAAAGGTCTAGTTAGAGCATGCGATTCTCACCCCGATCACAGGTAAACCTGAGTCTGCATTATTTGGAAAAAAAGAAAATATTTCACAATATTTTCAGCTCAGCGTACACAGCAATTAATTTCTATATTTCTGCAGGGTTGCAAAGGGAAGAGGCCCCTGCCACCTTTCCCTCCTCTCCTCATTCCGTCCCCCATGGTTCCTCTCACACAGCACTATGTGGTGGTTGCTCTCACATGCCCTGTTCTGAAAATTCACATTCGCTGCTGAGTAAACAATGTTGTTCTTGATTTTGTCCATTTGCCTCTGGCTTTTTTCAGGCTATATTTTCCTCGAGTTCCATGGAGTTTTAACTACTTATCTACTGCCTGCTTTAATGGAAATTACAGGGGTATCTCCATCCGCCTCTATGAAGAGATTGTTACTGTAAGATGTTGTGGGGATTTTTTTTTTAATGTGGAAGATTTAATTATAGCAGTGCCTGTAAGTGCCATTATACTTGACGGCTTGTCAGAGTTTCCATTGTAAACCATGATTTTCAGGGTTTTATAACTCAGCTGTATTAAATCACTTAGGACTGGAGTCTGGTATGCATGCTGCTAGCTCAGACATGTAGGGTACATTGGAGAAGCCTGCCCTAAGCTGCTGAGCCCCTAACAAATGGGCTTTCAGTCATTTCAGATGCCTTTTATCTTCCCAAGGATCCAGGTAAAATAAGATGGTGTCATGTAGGGCCCGATTCTGTGGAACAGCACTTTGCTCCACTCAGACGAATGGGCCGGCAGTCCGAGTCAGTATTACTTAGCATGAGAAAAGGTGTGCATCTGAGGGGAAGTCTACACTAAAAGGGAAGGTCGAATCAAGATACGCGACTCCAGTTATGTTAATTATGTAGCTGGAGTCAACGTATCTTATTTCAAGTTTCCCTGCTGTCCAGAAGTGCGAGGCCAACAGGGGCAAATGCTCCCATTGGCTTCCCTTGCTCCTCGCAGAAGCTACCAACAGGGGCGCCCTCAGAGTTTGATTTAGTGAGTCTGAATTAGACTTGCTAAATCAAACTCTAGAAGATTGATCACAGTAGGGTTGAGCTTCTGTTTAGTGAAGACATGGCCTGAGAAAATGCTTTAGGCTCGGCAGGAGAAGGGACTATGGTGGCTTCAAGCACTTTGGGGCCTTCCCAATCCTTGGCTGCTCTGAAGATTGGAGAGGATCTGGGCATAAATAACATAGCCCCGGAAGACCATATAAACTATAGCAGCCTCTGCAGGAAGTCCCATGGGCTGTAGTTCTACCAGAAATCTATTTTATGCTGCAGCCCCATCCTAGCATGCCCTTTCTGCCCTAGTACATTCACTGTTCCAGGGCTTACAGGGAAGTCTTTGGAAGGTAGCATCATGTCCACCTTCCCCAGTGCTTGTGCCAGGGGAACCTTCCTCCAGTGGGAACCAGGCTTTTAGGGTCCCTTTACACTGCTCTTACCGGTGTACCAGCATAAGGATTTGAAGCATGGCTGAAGAGCTCAGCTTTAGGACCTGGTCCTTAATACAAGGAAAGTCCTTCAGGTAAGGAGCGTGGCTCTGTTTTTCATTGACACTAAGGCTCCTTGACACCTCTCTATAATTTATGCCCATTTTAAGGCCCTCTGTGATCTACCAAGGAGGAGTAAAAAGGCCTTGGTGCAAATGAGAATCAAGCCCCTGTGTCTTTGTATGTTTTTGGACAGCAGCTGGCATAATGGGGCCGCATGTCTACTGTCGACCTCTGGAGGCTGTAATAATAATGGCTAATAGCTTGTAGAAGGATTCCTCCAAAAAGAGTCAGAGCCTCATGATGAGGGCACAAGAGCAGACCTTAATTACATTCAAAACAAAATTGACCAACTGAACAGCAGAATGAGTGCTGAAAAGGAAGCGACTGCGGAGCTTATGTTGAGCAGGCACTCAACACATTCTCCACCCTGACCAACTCTTCCTTTTCAGAAGAGCCTGAGGAAGAGGAAATATCTGACCAGACACAACGCGGTTGCCAAGAATGTACTGGAACCTCTGTGGCAAGTACGAATGTGAAACGCACCTCTCTAGAGAAGGAAG